GGCTCTTCAGACATACACGTGTATGACATTGGATTGTACTGAATGAACTACTAAGAACAAATAACCAAAATTTGCCCATGTTTGAGCTACATTAAAAATTTTATTCTCATTTTTTTACTCATTTACAATCACACATTTTTCAATAAAATAATATTTTCCATCACATCAATAACTTTTCATTCTTTTTCAACTGCACATTCTCCATCAATTTACTATTCCAAAATACATTATTCTAAAATAATATAGCTCAAACACACCCTTTGTAATATTATCTTCTTGAATCACGTACACTTTTATCAAATTTAACATACCAAACATATATTTTTTAGCTTTGGGGTATAGTATTAGCATAAAATTGGCTATTAATCACAAACATATCATGATTAATCTATGATGCACCGACACGGACACGTGTGTCGGACACGATACGTGTCGGATATGCCGACACACGATTTTTAAAAAAAGTACAGACACGACACGTCATCGACACGTTGATTAAATTCTTAAAAATTCTTCATTTATATAGTATAAATCATTAGTTATATGACAACTCATTATTACTCATATTTCTCCCTCATTCCCCTCTCTCGTATAAATTGAACCGCTCAATTACATTATTTCACATAGATTGTCACATAACCGATGATTTATCATCGTGATGATAAATAACATTATTCGTCTTTCATATGGTGGAAAAAATACTACTCTTTCTGTCTCATTCATATATGCTGACTTTCCTTATTTTTTCTTTTGTTTTAATTATATAGTCTTATTTCTTTATTGAGAATATTTTATTTTGCTCGTTTACTAATATACCATTATTTAATTTGTCTATTTATAGCAGCCAACTTTTTTAAATTTATTACTAGTTGTTATAATTAAATAAGAGTAAACTAGGAAAGTTTTTGGCAAAAATTACTTTTTCAATAACATTAAATATAGTTTCTTAATTCATGTGAAAAACAAAATCAACCTATATAAATGGAACCGGTGATTACTGCAAACAATAAATATTCAAACCTCCTAATTAAAGTCATTGCGGAAATTTCAAGCTTTTAATATTCCCAACTTAGGCATTAACAAGGAAACTATATCATATAGTCAACT